GGTGTCTGCAGCTCCGTCTTGAAATCGTGAAACACCTCCGTTGTTGTTTCAGCAGGTTTCTTTGTCTCGATAAGATCAACCGTCGGTTCGGGTGTCTGCAGCTCCGTCTTGAAATCGTGAAACACCTCCGTTGTTGTTTCAGCAGGTTTCTTTGTCTCGATAAGATCAACCGTCGGTTCGGGTGTCTGCAGCTCCGTCTTGAAATCGTGAACCACCTCCGTTGTTGTTTCAGCGGGTTTCTTTGTCTCGATAAGATCAACTTTCGGTTCAGGTGTGACCATGTCGGCCTTTAATTCGTGAACCACCTCCGTTGTTGTTTCAGCAGGTTTCTTTGTCTCGATAAGATCAACTTTTGGTTCAGGTGTGACCAGGTCGGTCTTTAATTCGTGAACCATCCCCGTTGTTGTTTCAGCAGGTTTCTTTGTCTCGATAAGATCAACCTTCGTTTCAGGTGCGACCAGAGCGGTCTTCACTTCGTGAACCACCTCCTTCGTTGTCTCAGCCGGTTTCGTTGCCTTGATATGTTCAATCTTCTCTTCGGGTGTCTGCAGCTGGGTCTGCAATTCGTGAGGCACCTTCGTTGTTGTTTCAGCAAGTTTCTTTGTCTCGATAAGATCAACCTCCGGTTTGGGTGTCTGCAGCTCTGTCTTCAAATCGTGAACCACCTCCGTGTTTGTTTCAGCAGGTTTCTTTGTCTCGATAAGATCAACTTCCGGTTCAGGTGTGACCAGGTCCGTCTTTAATTCGTGGACCACCTCCGTTGTTGTTTCAGCAGGTTTCTTTGTCTCGATAAGATCAACTTTCGGTTCAGGTGTGACCAGGTCGGTCTTTAATTCGTGGACCATCTCCGTTGTTGTTTCAGCTGGTTTCTTTGTCTCGATAAGATCAATCTTCGGTTCGGGTGTCTGCAGCTCCGTCTTGAAATCGTGAACCACCTCCGTTGTTGTTTCAGGGGGTTTCGTCGTCTCGATAAGATCAATCTTCGCTTCGGGTGTCTGCGGCTTCGTCTTCAAATCGTGAAGCACCTCCGTTGTTCTTTCACTGGGTTTGTTTGTCTCGATAACATGAATGTGTGGTTCGGGCGTCTGCAGCTCCGTCTGCAAATCATGTACCACCTCCGTTGTTTTTTCAGCGGGTTTCGTCGTCTCGATAAGATCAATCTTCGCTTCGGGTGTCTGCAGCTCCGTCTTCAAATCATGAACCACCTTCGTTGTTGTTTCAATGGGTTTCTTGGTCTCAATAAGATCAACCGTCGGTTGGGGTTTCAGCGGCTCGGTCTTCAATTCGTGGACCACCTCCTTTGTGGTTTCAGCTGGTTTCTTTGTCTCGATAAGATGAATCTTTGCTTCAGGCGTCCGCTGCTCTGTCGTTAATTCATGAATCACCTCGATTGTGGTTTCGTGTGGCTTCTTAGTCGCGATAAGATCAATTTTCGATTCAGGCTTCGCCTCGTCGCTCTTTAACTCGTGTATTACTTCGGTTGTTGTTGGAACTGGTTTCCTTGCCTCGATTAGATCGATCTTCGGTTCTGGTGTCGGCTGCTCTGTTGTCAATTCATGAACGACCTCCGTTGTGGTTTCAGCGGGTGTCTTCGTCTCGATGAGATGAATGTTCGATTCGGGTGTCGAATGCTGGGCCTTCAACTCATGAACCGCCTCGCTTGTTAGTTGAAGAGGTTTCTTATTGTTGGTATGGTCTATCGTTGGTTGAGGTGCTGGACGCTTTGTCGCGTTTGCTCTCTTTGTTCCTGTGTCAGCTTCGGTTGCGTGTATGAGATCTCTATTTGGCGCGTGTGGTGGTTGTTCTCGTGTGGGAGCGTTCGGTACCTCCCTTTTTATGTCGGTAGCTTTGTTTTTGTCGTTAGCATCGGTGTTCGTGTCTGGTGCTGGTAGATCGAGCTTTGGTTTTAGTTCACTCTCGGGTATGCTGTCAACAGAAATCTTTTTCTGGATGGCATGAGGTTTCACTGTAGGCTCAGGCGGTTTTGGCTTTGGTAGTTGTTCGATAGTTTTGATTGTTTCGGCTGTATGTGTGGTGTCTAGGACAGGGATTGTTGCTTCAGGGGTAGTTGGATCTCTAGTGGATTGTTGTTTTACCTGTAGCGTAGTTGTAGTAGGCGTTCTGATGTGGATATCATGGATGTTTATGTCTACTGCGGTGGGATTAAGCATGAGCGGCTGATGAAATTGTGTGGTGTTTTCACATGGTTTATTTGGCTCGTGGATCGGAGTTGTTGTTTCTTGAGTGAAGGTATCTTGGTCTGCTTTTGTCGGAACGTTCTTTGCGGTTTCGATGCCTGTATTATTGTCGGTATCATGCGTCTCTTTTTTGGATGTGGAGTGGTCTAGTATAGGTGCTATTGTATGTGTTATGTTGGTTTCGTGAGGTTTTCCTGTATTTAGCACATTGTGCTTGATATCCGGTTGTGCGTGATCTTGTTTGGTTACTGTTTGAACGTTTTTTGAGATGTCTATTGGTTTGGCGTTATCGGTTTTCTGGTTTTCGTTTGGCGAGCAGCTGTTCGGTACAGCGATCCCGGAGTGCAATGCTGTGTTGGTGTTTTGTGTCGCTTCATGGTCAGTGTTTAATGGTGTTACTTGAAGAAGAACGGTTTTTGGTGCTAATCGTAAAGAATCTGTTGTAAAAGTGACATATAGTCGACCATGACCAGTTCGCAATGGAATTAGTTCAGTGGGAACGATAGTTGTATTTGTGGGTAATATTGGTCCGCTGAAAGTTTGGAATTTAGAGTTTCATCAATAAATGAATAGTTGCATTACCTCATCAAAATAGATTTCGATATACCAAAACCATCCATTGTGATACATGCATTATTTAATGGGTAGGGAAAAGGATTGTTTATTCGAATTTCAAGTTTTGCGGGTTCTTCTGCTTCGAGAACATCGTTGTGGAGAAACTGTTAAAAATAGAAGAAGTTTCAGTTGTATGATAGTTTTTCTGTCTTACCAGTTGCATTATATCATCTTCTGCGTTTAAGATGTATTTTTCTCGTTGATAAATTTGTCCTGTCTCTTTGATGTCCACATGTATGTATAGCTTTAGTAAACTATCAAAGCATCCTAACCAGACTTGATGATTTTCTGCAATTTTTATTGGTATGTTCTTATCTACAATTGAGCGTAAGTACGATGATTAAAATTATATCTGACTCACAATCATTATTATCGAGATGATAGACTTGTGAAAATGATTGAATCGGGGTTTGTGAACTTATATTGTGTGCCTCTAGATTTGAATTGCTGGGAATATATTGATCTTGATGTAATGTCTGACTTTGTGTTTTTAATGCAGATTTGACTTCTTGAATAGGATTAATTTTCACTAATTTGAAGGCCACAGTTAATGTACGATGTTCATTTGATAGATTATTTGTTTTAAGGATTAAATGAAGATCATCACCAAACTGAAAAAATATATTTGTAGAAAACTATACATAATGGAGAATATATACTTTCAAACTGTGAGGAACTTCTATTTCAATATTAACATCATGATTCAAAGCTGTTGGGTTTGATGCTATTTTAAATTAAAGATAAAAAAAAAGATGAAAATTAAAGAAAATCTGATTTTCGCTTACACTTACATTTGTTTAGTTTGTAATTGCTAGTAATATCTTCATATTCATTTTCTGTTTTCAATGATCGTGTAAGAATTTTTGTGTCAATTACATTTTCTTCAATATCTATGTAATAAATCAATATAACAGACCATTTAATGTTGACACTTAATAATTAGAAATTACTTAATTATTCAATAATTCAAGNACAAATAATCTATCAAATGAACATCGTACATTAACTGTGGCCTTCAAATTAGTGAAAATTAATCCTATTCAAGAATAGAAACAACTAGTGACTATGTGAGACGTGGCCCTCTTCTAATATTCTAGAATTCTCATAGAATTCTACATCTAGCCTTGTCTGTGCGCATATAACATAAATATAATCAATACCTTCTTAAAAATATTTTCGTATAAGGAGATGCGCACCGAGGTGAATTCTAGAATTTTAGAATAAATACGTATAACATAATTTGATATTAGTATAGATGGAATTTTAGAATTTTCAGAATTCTTAAACCTTAGAGGGTGTGGGTGTGAACATCGGTCTTCGCTGTTCCCTATCATCGACGTCCACACCCACACTGGAATTTTCCATTCAGAATAAGACTCTATTTCTTCAAAACTATGTCTTTGAAACTTCTATTGATTATAATATCTCTCTTATACTGAAATTTCACCATCCTAAAATTCCAGAATTCTGAAAATTCTAAAATTCCATGTAAACTAATATCACATCATTTCATACATATTTATTCTAAAATTCTAGAATTTTAGAATAGAGCCACTGCTGAACTATGTATACAACAATCTCTTACAGTCAGAGTACCAACAAATATATAATTTTTAATATTAATCTTTTCAGGCCCACCATACTAAACACAGTACGGTTTTTCAAATTTCGTAATCTTTGAATAACTCGCGAACGCAAAATGATATCGAAGTGCTATTTTCTCTGTGACATAAAATAGACTTTGTTGCATACATCTATGCAGGAGTTATTACCATAATAAGATCTCTCTGGTAGTAAGCTTGATGGATCTTTGGAGCACTACTTCTGTTCTAAAAAGAAGGAGGGTGAATAATGTCTTTCAGCGGTGCGCGGAATACTTCGAGTTTCCGTATTGAAACCAAGTTAGAAGTAGCTCTAGAGATATTTCAAAGGTTGATTTGGCAACATTTCTCAATCGAATTTCGACCCACACCTGTACTCCCCCATGGGGATGACTAAAATACTTCTTTATCATCCCTGTGAAGGAATACGAGTAGGGATCGAAAATGACTTTGAAGATTTTTTAAAAAGTTTTGATGAAAATATCAGCAATGTATAAGACCTATATTAAATATAAAATCTCAAAGAAATTTCGTCCGCTGGTTAAGCTATGGTCCAAAAAGGATTAATTTGCATTAATCACTAGAATTGTATATGTCGTGTAATAATTATTATCGGTTCAAGAGAAAAATATATGATTAAAGTTAGAAAATCAACTGTCATCAAGTCTAATATTCAACTTAAAATAAATTCTTACTGATGAGTTTTCTATTTCCATTTGGATAAACAAGCCAATAGATTTTATTCCCATTCAATACACTATAAATATCGGCAGTATTCCATTTTAAACCTAATGTAGCAGATTTTAAGGCTGCTACTGAACATGGACCTGTATGTCGAATATCTAAATAAAAAGAAATTTTTACTTTGAAAGATAATTTACAATTTTTATTTACTTGTATTGTATTCAATGAAAGATGAATCTACTACTTGCCATCCAGAATTATATTCTGGCAAATCATCTCGACGCATCCAACATTCATTCCATAAATACCAAGGACTATAACAAGAATAAATTCAAAATAAAATACAATTTAAAATGAATTATTACTAACTGAGTTAGTTTTGAATTAACTACAACAGTTGGTCGTTGTCTTGTATTCCAATTTACATCAATATTTTCTTTTTCTTGAATTCGACATATTGCATTATAAACAGTGACAATACGACATGGAATACCTAATGATCGACATAAACTACAAAACACAGCAGCATGTTGCCAATTACTACCATTATCACCTTGAAATAATTGATCATTTAATAGCCACAATTGTTTTAAAATAGCTGGACTACTTGTATATCCATTTTCTTGATATGAAAATGAATGACGATTCAATGGTGATGGAAATATGCCATTATGTATTTCAAGATTTGAACAGATTTTTGATGAAAGAATACGAAGAATTAAAGATGTATCAATTTGATGTTGTATTGATAAATGTGCTTCGTTAAGAAGAGCAAGAGCTGTAAGTAATACAACTCCTTCAAATTGTCCAAAATACCATGGAATAGATCGAGGAATTTCAGATGAGCCGAGATAAATTTCTCCATGTTCATTCATAACATATTCTACAATTTGATCAGATGATAATAGTGCACATGAATCATTTTTATTCCATGGATTAAATAGAAAATAAATATCAATATCGAATTGAAATATTGAAAGATCTCGTTGATTTATTAAATCTTTCGTCATCGAACTAATTTCGAGTAAAAGCTATTAACAAAGAAGTAAATTAATATTTTAAGTATATTTTAATTTTATACTTACAGAATATTTTCCAATAATAGCATCAGAAGGAGAATCAATTTGAAAACAAATATGATTATTCTTCTGATCTTCTGTGAAGAGTGTTTTTGCTGACCATCCATTTGATGAATCATTCAATGGAATTTTCACACTTGGAATATTCATCCATGTTTTAGACTTGAAAATAACTGACAAATTATATTTATCAGTATGAAAATCTTGATTAAATGTTATTATAAATGAAAATGGTTGACCTCGTCGAAGTATAAGACCTTGAATATCATAATAAATTGTTGAATGCTCTTCCATATTTTTCTTCATACACATATCAGCTTCAATAGGAATCATTCTTGTTGCTGAAAAGAAATCTTTCAAATTAAAAGTAGAATACATATTGAAAATACATGTCTATTTAAAAGATCATATCAAAGATGTTTTGCTTTCTGAATTTCACACAAATATTAGATATGTGTGCTTTTGATTATGTCAAATAATTTCCAAAATAAAATCATTATTAAACGTCTCAAATGTTTTGTCATGATTGTTAACATGAGAAAGATTCAACCATAAGAAATTCTACTATAAATGAAACGTATCAACTTACAAGCATTCATTGGTAAACATAAAGAAAAAAAAACAGAATAAATTTTTTATAGCAACGAGAAATGAGAATCTATCAAGTTACGATTTTCGATTGGTATTATTTTTTGCGTCATCGATTAATAAATGCGAACAATGACTTAATTCAAGAGAAAATTTCACATGTATTTTCAAGATCATAATCAGAGCAAACATACAACTTCATTATATTCTAATAGCGTGATCATCAAATATACCTTTCAATAAAAGTGATAGCATTCTCAAGTAAAAACGAAGAATAAAAAGATATTTTCTAATTTTTTTTTAATATTTGAGATTGTTTGACATAATCATGCATATTAATTTTTTTATATCTTAAATTAAATATTTTAATCTACTGTAGCATGTTCTAAATTTTACAAACTATTTTCTTTACTGATTGAAGTATCGTAAAGCAAAAAAGAAAGAAATTAAGAGAAAAATTTCAATGTTCGATTATATTAAATTTTATAGATGAAGAATAGATTTGTGTGATCTTACCCATCTCAGATGTATTATATTTTTCGTGATTTTGTTCCGTGAAGATTCTAAATTAATGACATTTTAATTTATAGCAATAATTATTACCATTGAAATTTTATATCAATAATGATTATTTGACTTACAATGATGAAGAGGAATCTACTATATTTGACGAATAAGGCAAAAAAGTCTTATTCGGATAATCGACTAATTGTTGTATAGGGTTGTTATCACTTTGCATAGAATCGTTAGAAGTAAATGTTTATTTTTTAGTTTTGGCGAAACTAACACATATATAATGATTTATTTTTTTTTTATGTGATGTCATGCGTATCACATACAGGTGAAATGATTATTAAACATGTATTGCTAAGAAAAAAATATTACATTTTCTCTCTCCGTTTACTTGATATTACATCCCGATATGCATATACATACACAGACATGACTGTTTTCTCTCTGTTCACTGCTCTTATATGCTTAAGTTTATACTTCTTTTTGTTAAATGTATTTATACAACTGTCAAGTTTCATTAAATAAAAAGAAAATACATGAATTATTTCCATATATTTAATTATTTATGACTGCATGACTTATGTGGTGACTGAATTTTCTTATCGTTTTTCTTGGCATTACCTAATACGTAATTGATAATAATTTCTTAATGATTTTATAAGTTTTTGACTAATGATTAGATTCTCTCTTAGCCTTTGGATAAGTAACTTCTGAGATTTGTTTTCAACATTAAATAAATAATAAATCATGAAGTGGATGAAAAACATAATTTACATTTTTTGCAAAGCTGACTTTGAACACATACTAATTCGTAAAAAAAAGAGAATCATACTACAATTGAAGTTATTTTTTTCAATATACATAAGCATTTTCTGTTCTGTTAATTCGACAAAATACATTGTCAATAGTCATCATTTTTGAAAAAAAAGTTAATTTTCTATTTGTGTGTGAATATTTTATTTGAAATCACCCAAGGTAGATTTTAGAGATAAAGATGTGTCTGAATGTATCGAGTTTAGGATAAACAATTTTGTGCATTAACGACTAATGATTCTCATAAAAAGAATCGCATCAATATAACACTTCCATCTTTGTTTTGAATCGTTCGGATGGAATCAGCAATGTCATAGAAATATAATTGACGTTGACTATCATTTTGCTATAAACTTCAATTCGATATGATACGGTAGTCATAACACGATTTTTCGATAATAACAATTTCTTTTTTGAATAGTATACGCAGCATGGGATGGACTTTGCATTACGATTTTACTTTCTTCTTTCTCTTGATGACGTATGCACATAGACAGGTCCTTCATTTTTTAATCAAGAGTGATGATTCATTCTTACAAATAATAATATCCGCCAATGAATCGTCTTGTCAATAAATAAATAAATCAAACGAATTTACTCTTATCAATTTAATATTTATCTAGTTCAATCGACGAAATCGAAAAGAACTTTGGCAATTGAAAACTCAAGAAATAAAACCATGATTTCATATCAAAACTACGAAAACAAATGATGTTTCGAATAACAAAATGGACATTAAAATTATTTTTATTTCCATTACATTCATTAAAACGAACATTTTAATGAACGAAAATGAAATACACTGTATTTACAATTTGTTTCATCATGTGATAAAGTCATTTCTCTATTTTTTTTTGAATCTCCAAGGAAACGATCATTAGAAACTAAATACCAAGTATCTTTTTGTTTGTTGTAATTAAGAAAAGTTGTCTTGATGTTTGTTTTTGGAATGAAATATAATTAATGCATAATGATTTTTACATGTCACAAACTATTTACTAGTACTCATCTGAGTATGCGTTTTACTCGTAAATATAAGGGTATATTGCCACTTTTTTTATTATATTTTTTCTGTTGATACTATCTTACTAATAATTATGCATAGGCAAAAATATTTATGAGACAGAAAAAACGATGCACAGCTACCTTTTTTTTTTTATCTCGACTCTCACCATAGTCGACAAGCAGAAGAAAAAAGACACTTTCTTCGTGAAAAATTACATTCATATATAAATTATATTAAAGGAAAGGTCAGAGCAATAAAGGTATAAAGAAGCGCACGATAATAATTTTTTAAACAGAAATTTCTCTTGTCTTTTGATGAACATGAGAGAACATCAACAATTCAGTAAACCGGTATAATAGGACTTGACACCATTTAGAACTTAAATATATCATTAAGATATATTGAAATCGATATAGATAATTGCTCCCCTTGTAATAGACTAACTCAAAAATAATATGAACTACTATTGAAGGAGAAAAAACAATGGTGATAGCTTATCAAGTTTCATCGTATAAAATACAACTACCTTTAGTACAAAATCATTGAATTAAAAAACGACTAGTTTCTATTAGATACGACACCGTCAAAAACTACTCTTCATATTATAAGTAAAATTAAAAGGAAACAAGTTAATCGACTAAAGTTATTAGTCAAAAATCTTAAATTCATTACATATATAAACAGTAACAAAAAAAACAGGAAATTGAACGAATAAATCGATTAAATATTTGTGGATGGTTTATTAATTCATTAAGCTAACATTGTAACAAGAAAATTGATACCAACAACAGTAGTAAAAATATTCATTATTAATGCTCTTTGTGAATTTTTCAATCATGCGTCATGATGCTTACTACGTTTATATTGATGTATGCGTATATATATAGAACAACAGAAACTATGTCTAAGAAAAAAGAAATAGAACAAAGTTTTTGATTGAAAATAATAAATAATCAAATATATTCATATGGTTATGTTTATTCTGAAGTAATTTTAGATTTGCATGAGATATTTCAGATGTATAATATTTTGTATCATTTTGTGATAGCCATATGTAACCCGTTCCTGTTTTTTTAAATATCGTTCGAGTTCAACAATTTCAAGTTTTTCCATTTGTCCAATACCCATATAGAGAACAACCCTGGTGATTTGTTACGATATCGTATACGAACCGTATACTTTTTATATATATGGAGTATTTAGAGTTATAATATATATTGTATATGACCGAAAGTATGCCTTATTTATACTACATATTAGTGCTTTATGGTCTGAAAATGTAGGAACGATAGCTTTATTTTGGATTTGATCAATATAAATTTTCGTCTTCAGGCTATGATCACGCTTGATAAACAAAAAATAATCAGACAAATAAATGTAAGTAACAGATACAGTTAGAAAGAGAACAAAGAAAAACTTTTGCCGAGTCGATGTATATAGGCTTTGCCTATTATCGTATGAAACATATGCCTGAAAAATAAAGGCAAGTATACAGCAAACAATAATTAACACTTATATTCCAATATCCATAGCTTTAATATCTTAGAACAAATTTTTATATCATAGCGTTCTTCTTCAAGCGAAAAATTGTAAATTTTATCCAAGTACATTTTTATAAAACTCTTGATAGTAATGTGTATTGATACGAAATATTATTCGCATTGCAGCTAAAAAAAGAAATAAGTTAGAATTAAAACAGAGGGTTATTCAATACATAGACACGTATATCGAGAGAAAAAAAATCACAAAATTTTACCTCATAAGATATTTTTTTATTTTTTTTCAAAAGAATAACAATATTGAAGACAATACAGAATAATTTATGTTAATTTAGAATTTAATAGTGCAAATCGATCTGAATATAGTTTTGGTTTTGAACATTGATCACCAACCATCAATGGTAACATATCTGCTTTTAATTTATCTTGTGCATGTCACATATATAACAGCCGGCGTACATAATCACTAGGATTTTTTTCATGTATGTTGAGTAGATTTTCATTATGATACGTTTTTAAGAAAGAAGTATAGAACAAATATTATTATTTAAGAAAACATTGCTACTTACTATTCCTTCTTGAAATTTATCTTTTTCATTTCGGCATATTGTCAATTGTGATTCTTTCTGAGTCAAAGAACGAACTACTTCACACATAGTTAAAAAGCAAAAAGTCAGAAAAATGCATAGTTGACAAAGCTGCTTCATTTGTTTAGTAAAAGAATCCGTTTTTTGTTTATTTAGCGTTGTTATAAATGTACGTGTCTACCGTCGATTTAATTGTGAATCGTCTTGTTTCTTTCACCTGAAAATGGCTGGAACAACTTTGCCTATTCGATAAAATGGTTTGGAGCTTTGTTCGTGGTGGATGGATTAAAATAGTCTGCAAATGATACATGCTCCTATTGAGATTCG